ATTTTGTGTATGATGCGCGGTTCGTGTATGGGAACTTTGTGTCATGATTCGCGGTTCACGGATAAGGAACTCTGTGCGTGATTAGATCATGCAACTTAGTTATGATTCATGACTAATGACTCATGACTCATGAATCAAGTTAATATTAAATTAATGCTTCTTAATGCTTATTCTGATGGATGGAGGAAGAGGAAAAAAGGAAAACACTTAATTCTCATTGTTAACGAACAAATTCGTGAAATCGCCAAAATATTAAACCTTTTGAGAAACAGCAGATAAAGCAAATGCATAGAAGATAAAAGGAAACAGAAATACGATAACACCAGTGATAATTATTGTTCTCTCTTTTCTGTTCCATTTATTATTGTGCTTATTGCAATTTCATCTTTATATGTAAGGTGAAAGGAGAGATGAGAAATTCAGAGATAGATAGATAGAGAGATGGAGAGGCAGACAAAGAGACTGAGAATAGAGATATAGAGACAACAGGCAAAGAAACAGAAAGATAGATAGATAGAGAGACAGGGGCAGGCAGAGAAGCAGATACAGACAGACAGACAGGCAAGCAGAGAAATAGACAAACAGACAGACAGAGAGAGAGAGGGAGGGAGGGAGGGAGAGGGAGAGAGAGAGAGAGAGAGAGAGAGAGAGAGAGAGAGAGAGAGAGAGAGAGAGAGAGAGAGAGAGAGAGAGAGAGAGAGAGAGAGAGAGAGAGAGAGAGAGAGAGAGAGAGAGAGAAAGAGAGAAGAGAAGAAAGAGAAGAGAAAGAGAAGAGAAGAGAAAAAAAGAGAGAACCAAGAAACAGAGTTCTAGAGAGCGAGAAACCGAGACAGAGAGGTGGACGATACCCCTCCTATGTCCGTATTTCCACCGAAAGCACTTGAAACAGCGATGAACTTACACGTGACAAGCTCTGAGGTATTTCCAGACGACGTTTGGGGGCAGAGACGACGGAGAAGTGTGGCATTTTCGTAGGCAGGGTCATTCATGGTCCAGCCAGTCAGGACCTTCTTGTCCAGCTAAAGAGAGGAACACTGTAGGTCAGTTTGTGTCGAATGTCCAGAGATTGTACTTCAGTTTACATATGATGCCTAAGACTATATTAATTTATCTCTAAATCCAAATACTATATCAGTTTGTGTCTATATTCAGCGTCTGTATTTCAGTTTGTATCTGAATCCAAAGACTATATCAATTTGTGTCTATGTCCAAAGAGTGTATCTCAGTCTACTTTTGAATCCAAAGACTATATCAATTCATGTCTAAATCAAAAGACTGTATTTCAGTTTGTATCTGAATCTTAAGACTGTCTATCTGTTTGCATCTGAATGCAGAAACTGCATATCTGTTTGCATCTATATCTAAGACTATGTCAATCTATATATGAATTCAAAGACTGTATATCTGTTTGCATCTCAGTCCAAATGCTATGTCAATCTATATCTGAATTCAAAAACTATATTTTTGTATCTAGATCTACACACTATGTCATTTTATATCTGAATACATAGACTATATCTGTTTGTATCAATCTAGACTATGTCACTTTATATCTGAATCCAAAAACTATATCTGTATGCATCTGAATCCAAAAACTATATCTGTATGCATCTGAATCCAGAGACTTTACATCTGCATCTAGATTCAAAGACTATGTCAATTTATAAGTGAATCCACCGTACATGTTTGTATCTAAATCCACTGTATGTCCCTTCGTATCTGAATTCAAAGACTCATTAGTGAATCAGAGAGTTAATTACAACCCGTGAAGTCATTGCCGTTGCTAGGCGCGTTGCGAATGGCCGATCTCCGAATCCTATCAACCCTTATCAAACGTTCTTAGTCCCAATCTCATCCCAGCCACTCACTCACCTGGACGATCCTGTTCGTGAAAGGCTTCGTGATGCGAGACAGAATCTCGACCTTCATGTTGTTGTGCTCGAGGGTCATCTGGCTGAGGATGACCCGAGTGAGGTGGTACAGGTAGCCGGTGGTCACTTCGAGGGGGAGGAGGACCAGGACGCACAGCCAGTTGAACATGTCGTGGATCACAGCCCCGGAGAAGGCGCGCTCGAACTGCTCGCGGTCGCCAACCTGGAAGGCGCGGGAGGGGGTCAAAGTCCGTCTCCTCGAAGTGAAATGGAAATTATATATATGACGATAAACTGATCGCAAAAAGGAATAATGAATAAATCCGTGGTAATGGAAATTTATAAAAAAAAAGTAGAAACACTCAGAGAACGCACACCTTCACCGAAGCAATAGTATAGTAATAATATTCAAACGCCATAAAGTTCTCCCTACCTCGCAATGTTAATGATAATAATAGTTACCCCTATTGCCTTGGCTATAGAAGTAACTGATGTAGTCTTTTAAATAATTCGTGGATCCAGATCACCATCAAATCTTAATGGCGTCTAAGTTGGGTTAACTTTCTGATTTATAATGGAAACCACCAAACTAACTAACCAACGCTACCTAAAACACAACCTCTTTGGCGAAGGTAAAAGTGTATGTATATTTTCATACATGTACACATACATCTCTCTTCTCTCTCTCTCTCTCTCCTGTCTGTCTCTTTCTCTCTCTCTCTCTCTCCTCTGTCTCTCTCTCTCTCTCTCTCTCTTCTCTCTCTCTCTCTCTCTCTCTCCTCTCTCTCTGTCTCTGTCTCTGTCTCTCGCTCCTTTCTCTCTATCTCTCTTTTCTTTCTCTCTCTCTGTCTGTCTCTCTCTCTGCCTCTCTCTCTGTCCTCTCTCTGTTCTCTCATTTCTCTCTCTTCTCTCTCTCTCTCTCTCTCTCTCTCCTCCTCTCTCTCTTCTCTCTCTCTCTCTCTCTCTCTCTCTCTCTCTCTCTCTATATATATATATATATATAATATATATATATATATACATATGTGCCGCGCGCCGCGCGCGCGTGTGTGTGTGTGTGTGTGTGTGTGTGTGCGAGTGCATAAGTGCGTGCTCGTTAGAGATTAAGAAAGCTATACATACATATATCGGGATTTACCTGTCCAATACTGACGAGGGTGTTGGTTATAGAGGTACCAATGTTAGCGCCCATGATAATTGGGACCGCAGTGGGCACGTCCAGAACTGTGGAGAAAACCGAGAAGAGATATTGATATAAATAAAAAAAAAAAAAAAAAAGAAAAAAAAGAAAAAAAGAGAAAATTGCATATATTGATACGAATTAAAAAAAAGAAAAAAAAAGAAAAAAGGAGAAAATTGCAGTGCAAGAACTAGAATATTCAAGTTAGCATTTTTTGGATATCTTTTTTTATTTTATTTTATTTTCATGTTTGTTTTGATAGTAAGATCGTTAAGCGAGAATGAATTGATTGGTATTTAAGTACGTCTGTGATAAAGCATAAATGGATAAAGAAGAGGAAGCAGAAGAAAATACAGTTGAAGGAAGTACATAGATAAGATAGATAGTCATACACAGATATCTAGATAGATAGAGAGAGCAAAAAGAGTCAAAGCGAAGAAACAAAAACAAACAAAACCAATGATAAATCTTATAAGTAGATACAGAACAAACAAACAAACAAAAATCAGTCTTACTCTTAGATACAGAAGAAATTACAGATAAAAAGGAATTTTACGAATACAGAAAAAGTCTTACAAGTAGATACAGAAAAAGTCTTACAAGTAGATACAGAAAAAGTCTTACAAGTAGATACAGAAAAAGTCTTACAAGTAGATACAAAAAAAATCAATTTTACAAGTAGATGCAGATCAAGAAGAAGAAGAAGAGGAGAAGGAAGGGAGGAGGAGGAGGAGGGAGGAGGAGAGAGAGAAGAGAGAAGAAGAGGAGAGGAGAGGAAGGAGAAGAGAGAGGATGAGGAAGAAAGATGAGGAGAAGAGAGGAAGAAGAGGAAGAGAAGAGGAAGAGTGAGTGAGGAGGAAGAGGAAGAAGAAGAGGATGAGAGGAGAGAAGAGAGAAGAAGAGGATGAGGAGGAAGAGGAAGAAGAAGGAGGATGAGGAGGAAGAGGAAGAAAAGGAAGGAGGAAGAGGAAGAGAGAGGATGAGGAGGAAGGAAGAGAAGAGGAAGAGGAGAAGAGGAAGAAGAAGAGATGAGGAAGAGAAGAGCGAAGAGAGAAGAGGAAGAAGAAAAAGATGGAGGATGAGAGGATGAGGATGAGGAGGAAGAGGAAGAAGAAGAAGAAGAAGAGGATGGGGAGGAAGAGAAAGAGGATTATGGTCCAAGTAAACCCAGCCAAGCAACAGAAAAGAAAAAAACCAAACCCTTTCAGACTCACAGTCAGCGGCCACCATGGACACGATGATGGACGAGGATGTGGACGAGGACTGCACCAGGACCGTGACGAGGACTCCAATCATGAGTCCGACGACGGGGTTACTCAGCAAGGTCGACTGCCTGAACACGACACCTGGGGGGGGAGGAGGGAGGGAACGGGGGTTAAGGACCTCACTGCAAGGTACGTGTATATAACTGTTAAAAGGGTACCTTGCGTTATTGATTATGGTTGTCGCTTATGTTTTTTTTTTTTTTTTTTTTTTTTGTGTGTTTGCGGTGCGTGTTCGTTTTAAGGATTTATTGATTTTTTTTTTTTTTGGTTTGGTTTGGTTTTTATTTTTTTATTTTTATTCTTTTTTTTGGTTTGGTTTTTATTTTTCATTTTCATTTTTTATTTTTTTTTTTTAGGTGAGGTATTTGGGGAGTTGCATAGCTCCTTTTGTTTACACGTATTTTTTAATTTTATTTATGAAATGTGAGAGACAATTGGGCGTTTCTGAAGTGAACTCTCATCAACTATATTACGTGTCTCATTATCTTGCTCTCTCTCAAGTTTCAAGCATGAATATTCCGCAATACTTACTCGCAGTTCTCCCTCCAAGGAGCCTGAAGGAACTGGCGAGGAGGTTGAGGGAGCAGACGAAGAGGTACAGGAGCCCCAGCAGCAGGAGGAGCTTGCCGCAGACCTTCGCCACTCGGAATGCGACGCTGCTCCTCGACTTGGCCTCCGTCGAGCCTGGTCATGGTACGGTACAGTCATGGTTATAGCGAGAGTCGAGACGAAGTACGGTACGATCGTGGTTATGGAAATAATCAAAGACGAGTGAAGATATCTTGGTTAAATTTGGTTCAGTTTGTTTATTCAATGTCTATTATTGATTATGATTTATGATTAGTGTCGGAATCCACTGAATTAAAATACAACAGTTTTAATCATAGGACTTAATCTTAGTTATATAATACCAAAAACCAGCATTTTTATGAAGAAAAACTAAATCGAAATAGCTGAAACAATACGAGACAAACAACAGCACGACATAAGATTAGAGACTACCACTCAAGGAATGTCACAGGGCCTAAAATTGCCAAGTTCATCCCTATATCCCTGAAAACCCTGAAATAGAGGCACTTATATATGAGGAATAAATTGGCGATACTTACTCGAGTCTTACTGATTGATTTGACTGAATATTAACCCTTTAGTAACCGCTACGTAAGTATGAAATTGGTTTTCTCTTTCGCTATCTTCGCAAAGGCCAAAAGATACACGTAGACGGACACAGAATAGTGAGGAAAGGAAGTTAGAAAGGGAGAGAAATAGGGAGTGTGGAAGAGAAGAGAAGAGAGAAACGAGATGAGAGAAGAGCGAAATCCCTAGAAAGAAGATAGACACACACACACAAACACACGCACATACATATATAAACACACACACACACACACACACACACACACACACACACACACACACACACACACACACACACACACACACACACACATGCACATATATACAGCATATATAAAGAGAATAGACACATAGACATAATTAGATAAATAGAAAAATAAAACGGAATGGAGAGAAAGACAACGGAAAGAATCGTTATGCTCTGTTTTTTTTTAGCAAAAAAGTACAAACAAAAAAAACCAAAGTAACTTGAGACGCCAAGAAAGCTTTACAGGGTTTGTGAAGCCCCTGAAGAAAAGGTTTCCGCATTCTCTAACGCCAACGCAAAAAAACTTCCCGTTACTCTCTCTTCACAGTACTTACTCTAAGTAATACCCGCGTTTACTCTCTCTCTGGTGCGATTAATGAAAAAAAAAATGAAAAAAAAAAAAAAATTAAAAAAAATAAAAAATTAAAAAATTAAAATTAATAAATTAATAAAAATTAATAAAAATTAATAAAAATTAATAAAAAAAAAATAATTAAAAAAAATATATATATATACTCATGAATTGTATTGAGAAATGTAACTAAGATCGTAAGCAAGAATTTACGAACAATTGTGGTTATTAGAAATCTTTCATATTTTGTCGGTAATTGAGTGTTGCATGTCCACCTGTACGTTGATATTTGTAGAAATAAAGACGCAGGTAAATTGATAGTTATGAAAACGTAATAGTAAATAAGAAAGATAATGATTATATTACTAAATACTGATAACAATAGCAATCATAATCTTAATAATTGTAGCAGAATTAGTAGAAGGGGTAGTAGTTGCTTTGTCAGTATTGGAAGTAATAGTAGCAGTAGTAGCAGTGATAGTAGTAGTAGTGAAGGTGGTTGTAGCAGTGGTAGTAGTAGTAGTAGTCAAAGTCGTAGTAGATTAGGAGTAGGAGGTAGGAAATAGTAGTACTAATAGTGTGGTAGTAGTAGTGGTAGTAGTAGTAGTGGTGGTGGTGGTGGTGGTAGTAGTAGTAGTAGTAGTAGTAGTAGTAGTAGTTGTTGTTGTTGTTGTAGTCGCAGTCGTAGTCACAGTAGTCGTAGTCGTAGTAGAGTAGGAATAGGAGAAGTAGCAGCAGTAGTAGTACTAATAGTAATAGTATTAGTGGTGGTGGTGGTAGTAGTAGCAGCAGTAGTCAAGTAGTGGCAGTAGTAGTAGTAGTAGCAGTAATAGTAGTAACAGTAATAGTATACCAGTAGTGGCGATGTAGTAATAGTAGTAATAATAGTAATAGTGATGATGACAACAGTATAATAATAATAATAAAGTAATGAATTAATACTATAATAATAAATGATAACGATCTCCAATCCCTTCATCTCTCGTCTTTTCGCCCGCGGTCGTGCGTTCATATATGTCAAGGGTGCTGTGTCCTTCTCGCGGCGCCATCTTGGTCTGGCAAAATAATTTATCGACGAGTGATATTCCGGTCAAGGTAATCTGATCATTCAAATTCAACGTATTTAGTGAATTACGAATGTTTATTTTTTTGCGGGAATTTAGTTGTATTTTCGTTGTTGTGAATAAAGTTTTTAATGTGGTCGTTTTGTTTTTTGTTGAATCCATCAGGGGTCCCTATACCATGTGATCTGGTTATGTCTGCCTCTTTGCGTCATATATCATCCGGTTATTTCTCCCTACTCACTCTCGCTGTGTTTGTATAGTGTTTATCAAGACTTATCTGTTTATCTAGCAATTAGTTTATCAGTATTTTTGTTCATTTGTTATATGCACAGTCACTCGTGCGTGGACATTTGCATATTCACACATACACACGCGTAGATAATAACAGTAACAATAACAAGAGCAACATCATCTTCCCTAACAACAACAACAACACACAGCGAATCCTAAACACGCACACATAACACCTCCGCACACCCACACCTAAACACGCCTACAATTATAACACCAACAACCACAAAAACACAACAACACCAACCACACCACAATAACAAAAAACATACCACCCCCCACACACACACCCCACAATAACAAAAACACACAACCCCCCATCCCCACACACCCAACCACACCCCACAATAACAAAAAAACACACACAACCTACAACACAAACACAAACCGCCCACACATACACACCACACACCCACCCACACCCACCCACACACACACCCCAAATAACAGAAATACACACACAACCAACACCACAAACCCGCTCACACACCACCCCCCCCACCCCCACCCCCACACACCCCAATAACAAAAAAACACACAACCAACACAAACCCAAACCCGCCCACACATACACACACACACCCAACCACACCCCACAATAACAACAATAACAAAAAAAAAAAAAACACACACAACCAACAACACCACAAACCCGCCCACACACCCCCACCCCACCCACCCACACCCACACACTCGGCGTAAACCTCGCGTGTCACAGAACGCTCGCATGAATGGGTGACTTGCGCCGTTGCACACGAACCGCAAGTCAGATCCGTGAGGAAGGAGATTCACCCGAAGGACGTAAGGGCATAGGGGTCAAATACACAATACGCCTGAGCGAGTGTGGGGATTTCCTGTGATTCTTGCTACAGTGGAGGAGAGGAGGAGGAGGAGGAGGAGAGAGGAGGAAGGAGAATAATATAATAATAATAATAATAATATAATAATATAATAATAATAATAATAATAATAATAATATAATAATAATAGGGAGGAGGAGGAGGAGGAGGAGGAGAGGAGGAGGAGAAGGAGGAGAAGAGGATGAGGATGATGATGATGATGAGGAGAGGAGGAGGAGGAGAGGAGAGGAGGAGGAGGAAGGAGAAGAAGAAGAAGAAGAAGAAGAAGAAGAGAAGAAGAAGAAGAAGAAGAAGAAGAAGAAGAAGAAGAAGAAGAAGAGGAAGAGAAGAAGGAAAGAAGAAAAAGAATAATTATGATAAGAAGAAAATAAGAAGAGGAATAGAATTATGATGATGAGGATGAAGTGGAAGAAGAAGAGAAAAAAACATAATAATATAATAAATAATAAAAATAATAATAATAATAAAAAGAAGAATAGCACAGGAATCCCCATGACCCTTGCTGTGGCTTCGTGAGGACTGGTAGAAGGATGGAGGAAAAGGGCGTAATAAGGTTACAAGGAGAGTTGTAGATAAAGGAAAAGAAGAAGAGGAAGAAAAGGAGGAAGAAGAGGAAGAAGATGATGGAGATGAAGAAAAAGAAGAAAGAGAAGAAAAAGAAGAAAAAGAAGAAGAGGAGAGGATGAAGAAAGAAGAAAAAGAAGAAGAAGAGGAGAAAAAAAGAAGAGGAAGAAGATGACGAAGAAGAAGAGGATAAAAAGGAAGAAGAGGAAGAAGATGACGAGGAAGAGTGAGGTTTCTTGAGGACTATGAGTACAAAAAATAGTGAAAAAATTTAAGGAAAGATAGATATTGTAAAGATAATAGTAAAGTAAAGATAGTAAAGAGAAAGGAAACATGGAAGGGAAGAAGAAAAATAAAAGAAATTATGATGATGATAATGAAAAAGAAGAAGAAGAAGGAAATGAAAAAAGATCAAAGATAATGAAGAAGACGAAGACGAAGAAGATAAAGAAGAAGAAGGAAAAGATAAAAAAAAAATAGTGAAGATGAAGAAAAAGGAGAAGGTAAAGATCAAAGATGATGAAGATGAAGATGAAGAAGAAGAAGGAAAAGAAGAAGAAAGTAAAGATGAAAGATAATGAAGATGAAGAAGAAGACGAAGGTAAAGATAAAAGAAAAGGAAGAATAAAAAGGAAAGGAAAAGACCAAAGATAAAAGAAGGAGACGGAGACGTAGAAGAAGATACCAACACCCTTGACTCAACCTGCTTCGGTTCCCAGAGGAGCAAGTGTAAGGATAAAGGATAAAGGATATTGCAAAAGCAGGAGTGTATGGGAAATTTCTCCAAGAAACAGAGGGGATACTGAGGTGCTGATGAAAGGGCGCCAGGGAAATTGTGAGAAACTCAGTTGCTATCCAGATATTAACTAAAAAAAAAAGAGTTTCAAGCCATATGATGAAAGTGCAAGTTGGGAGGGGGGATGGGGAGGGGGTTTAGGGGAGGGGAGGAGTCGGCAGGTTGTCATGGAACGCTAACGGGGTCAGGAAGGATGCCAGAGGACTTGCCAGAGAACCCCCTTAAACATGCTCTCCGCCTCTCAGTGAAGAAAAAAACAACAACAACGGCAACGACAGCAACAAAGACTGATATATCCTTTCATATCTATCCTGCAGAAGTGTGTGATAAGACAAAGAAATATGGGAAGAAGTCCGTGGTGTCTAGACCGACG